ATAATCTTAAAATGTAACTCGGGTTACAAATGCTCTGCTCTATTTGGACTATCATTTGTGGCAGACACAACACGTACATGATGGAAACAGATACACTGTGCCCAAAGATTTGAAATGGAAAAAAAAAGAAGTCACACTGTATGATTATACACACATAAAAACAATTACAGTCTCAGTGCTTTGCAGATTTCGTCACACCAATCAAACTTGTCGCTTTTGTCATGCAACCCGACAACTTCAAAGTATTTAGGGGAGATTTTCTGTGAAAGACTAACAATCGGTAGGGATATGTGGTTTTCAGTTTCTTATGCACGTGAAAATGTTAAAAGTTTGGTGTTCATTTGTCTTCATCCCCTTTACTCTGTTACCCCTGAACAAAATTCTGTGCAACCAAACACATTCAGAATCAATAAAATCAATCGATGAACAAGTCATCCCCCTTGTGTGAAATTCCCTTTCACCGGAGAACCAGGCATGAGGCCAATAGTAACTCTGCTGAAGCTGCAGAGATTCTGTTGATTGAATAGAATAAAACTTTGTTTGTCCCCAAGGTGAAATTCCATAGCTCAAAGATGTTCAACATAAAAGCATTACAACAGCCACACTTAGTCATCCACACTTCACATAACCCTAAGCACATTGGCCCCACTGTAAAACATTTTGGACAGGCAGCACCTGTCCTGGATGGATGTGTTTTAAAGACTGTAAAACACGTGAGGCTCGAGGAGAGGTTCAGCTTGCAGCAGAACAATAACTCTAAACCATACTGATTTTCACATTATTCATGCAATCTGAATCAACTTGAGCTGTGTTGCTAAGAAGCATGGGAAAACATTTAGTTTATTCTTAAGATTCACATTTCTCTTCTTGAGATATTTGTAAGTTTTAATGAGTAATCCAGAACTTTATCAATATCACTTCTTACAATAGAGAGAGAGAGAGAAAAAACACTACAATGTGCCTTTCAAGAAAGTATGATGATTGTTGATTATTAGAGGGCAGGAAATGGCTAAAAGAAAAAAAAAAGTTACTTGCCTAAAGTTTCCCAAATTTACAAGCCTAGCAAAAGTTGCGCTTAAAAGAACTGGAACTCTGATAATAAGACTAGAAAGGCCCACATTTATCTACACTCAACGAGGAGGATGGTAGTGGAGGTACAAGATTTTTTTAGCAGATGTTTTACAGGTTTCTGTGCTTCAGTTAGAAACCCGTAGAATAATCTTCAGCATATAAAGCTGCTGCAAAAAGACAAAGATACTTCTGCATAAAGTAGATAAAAATAACTTCTTGATGGTTCCAAATCACCATAAATCGCTTATCGCTTATCGCTTAATTTCTCCTTTCATTTGTATTTTTGAAGTTTTACATTAAGCACTGTCAGGCTTAAGACAGACAACCAGTAATAATCAACAAATAAAAGCATTATTATTCCAGTCACAGAAAAATATTCTCTACACTAGTTAAATAATTAGCCCAAAGACACATTTATCTTTGGAGTACATCAACGTTCTGAGCTGCAGCTGTGCAGAGAGAAGCTTTTAGTGTTGAGCTTATGGAGGAAATGGATTGCATGTGGTTTTTACAGATGCTCCACTGAAGCACAAACATGGGTCAAAAATATCAAGCCCACATAAAACCTGATAAAAGTGAAAAGATGATTTACTTCTCCTGGATGTTGTGTTTGGACACCTCATCCCCACACTGCCCGAAAGTGTAAAGACCCTGTTGTTGGTGTCGTGACCCGTGCAGGACGTTTGGTCATCTTTGTTATTCAGAAGTGGAGTTGGTGGTGAAAAGGCAACAGGTGCTCTGCAAATTAAGACGCTCTTGTCAGCTTCTGAAAATTCAGACCGGAGTGTGACTTCTCTGTTGGGAAAAAAAAGATATTATCTAATGGTTAAATATATATATATATATATTACATATTTTGTAAAACCAACTCAATGTCAAGTTTTATTTGATATGCAGTTCTTTGTGTTCATGCAATGCCTTGAGGAGAGATGTTTGTGATCTTCTCTCTGTTTTGGTAAAACTGCAAATGAAGGCTCTGCTCAGCAAGGCAAGAAGACTTAACTGGCTTTTGGTGAGAAGTTGTGAAATTCGTCTCAGATTCCGAACATCTACATTTTTACCTTTTGCATATTTTTACCCACAAACACTGGACTCGAACCTTTACCAGTCAGGTTGACATCTTGTTGGGGATACAGTGAGTGCCTGAGAGTGAGCAGGCAAGTGGAAATCTGGAAGACACTGACAGTACAGAGAACAACCGTGGGACGAGTAGGTAGGTTCTGGAGGAGGTCTTGATGTTGTAGGTTTGCAGGTGGACGCTTGGAGCAAAGAAACTGGACGGGATCTGGGAACACAAGGGTGTGAGCAACACGAGATCGTTTCTCTAGAGGGTTTTAGCAGAGTGGCTAGATCTACTCAACAAGGTTAATCACCCAGTGAAGAGAGGTTGTCATGCAGCTCCTTATATCCACAGGACCTAATGATGCAAGGTCTGCCCGCTGTGAGGATGGAACGCCCACCTGTAGAGATCTTTAGGAGAAAGCCGACTCACACTCACACAGAAGAAACACAAACACACAAGAATCATGACACTCAGAAGTATCGCTGCTTTCTTTTTTTTGCAAAAAAAAAAAAAAAAAAAAAAGACGCTCTTTTTGGTGACCTATCTGCCACACTAACTACTGAATAAAAATGATGATGATTAAACAAATGGATGTTAAAACGAGTGTGGAACTCATGCCTAATTGTTCTCACCACAATTACAGCTGTTTTAATAGATGTTAATAGTTGAAACCAGATAGTTACATATACCAAATAAAAAGAGATTTTTTTGTCTCACTGCCTGGAGTTAAATCAGACCAAACTGCTTTTGTATTTAGTTAGAATCACCAAATTATTATTTTTTTTTCTTTTTTTGCTGAATGCCAGAAAACCTGGCAAGAGCATATTTTAAAGATTACATTTTGTAACTTGATTCAAATTCAAATGGCACATGACATTTTTTTAAGCAATGGCTTTCTATTTGCTAAACTTCCATTACTGCCGGTATAAAACAACCCTGTTAGTAGATTTTTCAGCATGTGTTATGGATCTTATGTGTTTTATAAGCTAACCATGCTTTAAATTTGTTTCTTGGTTGATGGTTCATTCATGTTTCAGAGTCTGAAGTCTACACATAATAGGTATATTTTTCCAGAGATTAAATTGGACTGTAATTAATAATTAGATGACATCTGAAGAGAGTTAGTTGAGCTAGCATTTATTCAGGGGCATTAGAGTAAAAGGGTTACAAGACTGTAATTTACGAGAACTGTGGTGTGTTTAATTCTATAGTTTTTATATAAAAAGAGCCATGTCTCATTTCCTTACACTTAAAGTCGTATCAAATGTTCATCTAGTTCAGAAAATACACATTTTTTACACTAGCTTGTGAAGAAAAATTAACAAAATGTGAACAAATTCAAAATGTAAGAATACATTTGCTAATGTGTATGGATGCGTTGTTTAACATGAATGGTAAATTATATGTATTATGTCTGTGTTATGCTATTCAACCTTATTTTTATGTATTCATATCTTTTTTTTATTTAGATATAGGGTGTTTGTTGTCTTTGTGATGAGTTTTTCAACCTGGGGTTCCTAAAATACTGTAATTGCCTTTCTTACATATTGAATTGTATATTTTTTATACAGGGCTTTATTGAAAATTACCTAATTATAATCTTTTTCACACAACTATTAAGTTTCATAGTTTTCTAAAAATATAACACATAATTTGCCACCCCTAGGGTTAATTGAGGCATAATGCAAGGTAATTACTCCTATTGCTTTGCTAACAAAAGAAAATGGAATTAAACATAAATCCATTATGGCAGTTTTTGTAAACTGCAAAAAGTAAGCATAAACTGTCAGAGCCTCCATGTGTGGATTCACAAAAGTGAGAGAGGAGATGAACACTGCACTGGGCTGTTCAAAATTCACATCCTGATTTTTTTCATCCCTGTCATGCTGAACAATCATCAGTTTCCATTGTACTAGGAATGAATCACATTGTTAGTCTGCCCTCTTACAGTCTACTGTGGGTCATCGGGGTTGGATTCATTTTCAAGTTTCCATAAAAGGAACTCAATCAGATCATTTGGATTAAATTATTTTTATGTCATTCGAAGACAATCACCCAAATTTCTCAACTGATTGTGTCAAGTTCTAACTCATTTCTACGATACATTTGCTCAAATTTGAAATTGTGGTTAATTGTGTTGTGTTGTGTATAGAAACAGCATTATCTTTAGCATCAGAAAATCTAAATAAAAATTTGTATTTATTTATCTGTGCCTTGTGATAAGACTGGTCACCTGTCTAGGGTTTACCCCACCTCCCATCCAGTGTTTTATCAATCAGTTGTAAATACAAACATCTGCACAGCTGACAGTGGATAACAGGATAGAACAGTCTGCTGTTTGTTTACATAAGATGGTTTTATGAATGCAGCCGATTGCCACCATCACATGGGACGTTTCCGCTGGGTCATACTCAGATGCATGTAGAGGAGTCAAAAATTATACCCAAGGAAAACTAGCACTACTTCAACATATATTTTTTTCCTCAACTAAAAGTACAAAGTAGTAACTGCAACAAAAAAAAAAAAAAAAAAAAAAAAAACATACTCAAGAGTTGAAAGGTTTTGGTTAAAAGGCTACTCAAGTATTGAGTGCTTGTTACGAGATTATAACGTATAATATATTTTAAAATGATTTAATCAGACAGAAAAAAATATAAAGTTATGTGCAAAATCTAAAGACTAATCTGAAGACTACTAAATACAAATAACATACTAGCAATTAATGGGAAACATTAACTGGAGCAACAGAGAAAAGTGGACGGTTTAATGGTAACATCCCAGAACTGTCACCAGACTGACAGAAACAGCTTTTGTGAAATAGATTCTTGACAGTGCATTCTATTAGTCTGTCAAGACTAAGTTGTTGCAGCCATTACTGTCTGTCCGCATAAAAAAATAGAGATGCATGGTGTTCTGAAGCCCAAAGACGAAGTATGGATTCTTCATTTAATTACACAGGAATTTAAAATCTATCCCTCCAGTCACCGTCTTCCCTTCATGCAAGGTCGAATTTTGGAGGCAACATGAGGGAAACCCAGACATTTTTTTTCAACAAACATTGTCAGCTTAAGGTGTTCCTACATGAGCCAGAAGGAATAAAATGTTACTCCATAAAATTATGGATCTATTGGTTCACAATCAGAAGACCTCCAAAGGGAGGCATCACATCCTGAAACTCCTTTGGAGCTAGAACACAACCTGCTCTACTTTGAGCTTCAACCAGGTGAATCTAGCCACACTATGGGGGATACGTCGTTGCAGAAAGTCCCTGCAACGACGTATTGGTACCCCATACTCCAACGGCACCCTCTACGAAATACCTCAAGGAGATGATTGTAAGCTTTCCATCAACAACCAAATTACCGTGACACCCTAAACAACTTATTGAGTAAAGATCTAATCCAGTCGTACACTGTTCCACATCGAGGATGAAAGCGACGCTGATATTCTTAAATTAAAGGTTCAGTACGACTTTGAATCCTCCTTTTCAAACACCCTAGAGTAAATTCTCCCAAGAGGGTTGAGATGCTTCAATGTAGAAAAAGAATATTTTCTTTTAATGTCAGTACATTTACTAAGCATTTGAATGCTGTGGTCTTTGAGGTTATCTTCATAGCATACAAAATCATGTATATGTCTTTCAATGCTGCGGTCTTGAACGAATACAAAGTCATGTACATGCATGCACACACAAAAAAACACAACAGAGACAGAAACAAAAAGATGGGCAGTACAAAGGAAACATGAACAAAAACAAAAAAAAAAGAGAAGAAAAATGTTGACTCGCTAGCATGCACCAGTCACCACTGCAGCTTGCTGAAGCTGAGTGACATGTGTTTACCCTTTTTTGTTCCTCCCTAGATGCTCAAATTGCTCCACAGAGGGAAACAGCAAGAGCTCCCCAAATCACACAGGGTGAATATGTGCATTTTTATATCTCCCAGCCATCACTCATGACAAGCAGAAGCACACCTTGTCTGAAGAGCTTTTTAGGAGAGGTGTTTGGTTGTGTGAGTTGTGTCAAGTCTTGCCCACCTTCTTGCCTCTTGAACAAAAAAATAAATAAAAAACAAAAAACAGTTATACACAAAGCAATATTAGTAAATGGGATGTTATTTTGCAACGTTTGTTGCTGTAGGGTTTTAAAAACACATGCAACCGTTTCCGATAGAGTATTATTGAAAAGTAATTTTCAATAAACGAGGCACTTAATATTGATTATCACACACAGACTGATGTTTTCAAGTTTCTGGTAATTATAATATGTTCCTGCTGACAGATGATGAAAATACAACACTGAAGATTAGATTATTACATCAGATCAATAAAATTAATTTAAAAATTACGACTTAATTATAAGTAATATTCACCTACAGATTTTTTTCAATAGGTACTTTAAATGTGACAAGCCTCATTGGAACATCATAATTTGCTGAACATGAGTGTAAAACATATATTTCTGTTAACTTGGTTTATTGGTTCATATTAAGGAATATGGCATTTCTTACAATGAAAGGATTTCAGTGTTTTCTGCCACGTGATGCAGCTCCTGCTTCCTGCCCCTCCCTTCCTCGTTGTCTGCTGATTAACTCATTGCTGTCACTTGTGCCTCTGTTCCTGCTGGGTCCTGATTGCTCATGGCCCTCACCTGGCCAGACAGACTTTGGATTTACTCTGTAAACCCGCCTGCGTTGTTTCTGACATGAGCCATTCCTCTGACTAACACTTTCGGAATTGTGGACTAATTAACCGCTGTCTTTTACTTGGTTAATTCAGACCCACCTTTTGGAGGAACACTCTGTCGTGGTGTCGTCACCCACGGGTCCCTTCGTGTGGTCAGTGTCCCCAGATGTAGACAGTGCTGTGGGTGAACCAGTCCCAGCATTGTCTCCAGCAGGTCAACTCTGCTGGCTTTCAAGACTCCATGCTGTTAATTCCTGGAATCCACCTCAGTCGGGTAAAGCCTTCATGAATCAGCATTATAGCCATTCCACTGTCCTCGTCAGTCATCAGCCTGTTTGTTGTGCAGAGTTTGGCTGGTGTAGAGTTCCAGAGAAGCAGCTTATCGTCTTTCTCATAGTGATTTGTCAGTGAATACTCTTTTCCTGATTCTGGGTCGTGGCCTGAGTCTTGGCTCCAAATCATGCAAGAATTATTACATACTGTGGTTCTTAGTTGAAAGAAACAGACATTAAACCCCTAACATTTAAATTTTGACAGTGACATTAGAAAATGATCATGGTACAGGACCATGGTTGAAAATGTGATTTAAAACTAGGACTGAAGTCAGTGGAAGGAGATGAAAGGAGGGTAGAAGGAGAAAATGAAGAGAGGAACAGACTGATTCGTGAAACCCTACAGCAGCCCTCCAGCTAAAATCCATAACGATGCTGCCGTGTGCTTGCCTGTCATAGCTCCGCAGTCAGTCACCCGTCCAACTGCAGACACGACCACACATATGCACACCACCAATTGTTGGGGTGACCTGTGCTCGGTTTCTCAGACAGGACTATATTTACCCCAAAATGAGCACAATGCAATAAATAAGCATATTGGTTAGAAATATTATACATTTAAATAACAATACTAAAAAAAACAAAAAAAAAAACAGAAATACTTGAAATGTTTAGCATTCAACTTCACTAGCGCACTGAATAATTTTAGCAGTAAAAAGAAACACATTTGTCAGTTAATCTTGAAATATAGATGTTTATTTTTCTGAAGATAATTTAGGTCCTCCATTAATTTGCAAGTTTTTTTTATTTTTATTTTTTATGACTTGTGTTATGAGAAAGAGTATATTATCACTGGGCATCTCCTTGCCTGTCTTTGGGCCACAATCATGCAGCTGTCTTCCAAAATGCCTCAGGCCAAGCCTCCAGCCGATGAAAGTTAAAAGTCCTCAACATGACAACCTCAGCAGTCGGCAACTCTTCTGTCTTATCTCGGCGATGAGTCCTCCCCATTTTGATTTTTAATATATATATTAGAAAAAAAAAAATCTTCATCAGCACCTGTCAGAGCTTATGCATGCGTTCAGTCACAAAGAGTGTGGTTGCATGAGCAAAACAGAGAAAAAAAGGAAAGTTTCTAACTAACAAGTACTAAGTGAATTGGATAAAAGGCAATCTCCTCTGTGCATAACCAATCAGGGAGGTGTTTGAAGAGAAAAACAGGATGAAAAACAGCATGCGAATGACAGCTCGTTTTTTTCATATGGACAAATTCAGGAGATGGAATGATTAAGGGATGGAGGGAGAAATGATGAAAGGAAGGAAGAGAGCCAGTCAGATCAAGGGGAAGCCATAATCAGATAATGAAGCATCAGAAGTCAAAATACCTAAAATGAATGGGATTTTCACACCCTGTTCTCAGTTAAAATTGGAATTATAAAAACAGGCTGTAACAGAACCTCACCTAACTGCAAATGAATCCAAATTACTAACACTGCAGAATATGAGTCTACCCAATGGGACAGCCAGGAACAGACTAAATTCTGGAAACAGAAGTACGAAAGGATCATTTTATGATTACTTGGTTTGAGTATGAAATATTGGAAAATGCAGAAAGCAAAAATAAACTAAGATTTAGCTTACAACAAATAGAACCAATTTGTAATAGGAAATTATGCAGCTCTGGAAAAATTTAAGAGACCACCGCACTGAACCCACTGAAAACCTCCTGGTTATCCACCAAGTATTGATTTCTGAACTCTTCCTGAGTTAAAACATTAGTGTTGTTGCTTCCAGATGAATATGAACTTGTTTTCTTTGCATTATTTGAGGTCTGAAAGTACTGCATCTTTTTTGTTATTTTGACATTTTCTCCTTTTCTGCAAATAAATATCTGAACCTAACACTTTTGAGCTTCAGGGTTTTGAGCTTTTAACCCTAACCCTATCCCTATGACAGGCCTGGCTTTATCTTTTATCCTGGATTTCTGAATAATTTTGGGCAACAGTCCTCGAGATTGGTGAATACAAATGCAAACCACAATGTAAACATTTGAGGG